CTCCCGCTGCCCCCCCCGCGGGGGGGGGGAGGGGGGGAGAAAGTTCGGCAGGCCAGCAAGGCCTCGCCACCACTAGGGGAGGGGGGAAGCTTGGAGGGGCGTGCGCTTCGCCGTGGGTGCCGGAGACAGAGGAGAAGGCTCACCTGTGGCTCCTTCCTTCTCCCATGGAGCTTCTCCTCCCCCCCGCGAGTATCGTGGGTCCCCCTTCTTGTATACCTGAATACGCATGCTACTGAGTTTGAGGTCCTCAGTAACATTTTACACAGATGTGACTCAAAAGGTGAATCAAACCAGTAATGGTGCCCAATTAGGAACACACGAGGCCACGCGTCACTAAGAATTCCCATCAGCACGGCTGCTCCCTTTATGTTGCAGACACTGATGCCGTCGTTATTATTCATCCGCCCTTCTTTTTCGTTAAACTGAGCGAACCTCATGAATTTTAAGGATTCTCAGCACAGAACTGCTGGCAGCGGCTGATAAACTGGCAGGTCATGCGCAGGCATCTCCCAGCGCGCTCAGTTCTTGGCTTGCCACTCTCAGCGGCATCTGTGCATGAGACAGCGGCTCGTGAACACTGACACAGACGCTCAACTGTGTTTAGCAGGAAGCGGTCCTGGACCCGGTTCAAGATCCCCGCGGCGAACACTCCTTCAGCCAAGATCACCAGTCTTCATTATTTTAAAAAAATGTGAAATCCTGCAACTCGCAATTGAGCCAAAATGTGGTGCCCACTGACACCTTTTCCTGGCACCCACCAAAGCGTTTTCAGGAAGTGGGCGGGGCCATGGTGGCCAGCTCTGGATTGGGAAATACTTGGAGATTTTGGGGGTGGAGACCGAGGAGGAGGGTGCTTGGGGAGGGGAGAGACATCAGTGGGGCTTAATGCCATGGAACCTACCTTCCAAAGCGGACATTTTCTCCAGGGGAACTGATCTCTGTGTCAGGTCCCACAGCAAACAATGTAGTACACACTTGCAAAAAGGGTTACTTTATTGAAGCCATGAGTCACTTGAACAGAAGCACTGTTCAGAATAACTTTAGCTCATTGAGCTGGGAAGGTTAAAGCAAGTTCATAATTACTACAGCCATAAACCTGTTTCCTGCGCGCAGCTAGAGTGCGCTTTTTTCGCGCCCACAACCTTGGGAAAGCAACTGCTACTTTATTATCACTAAAATGCGTTTCTCACAGTTTCTACTCATTAAAGCCAAAGCAAAGTTCTCTCTTCCACCTGTGACCTTGGAAAGATAACGTTACAGCAAAGCATGGCTGGCGTAGGCTAACAAGAATGCAGTTACTATGGAAATATGAGCATGACAATATGAGTGAATCCCAGGAGGGGGGGGGTTATACAGACAGGTACATTAAAGAACTCAGGTACCAGAATGACCATAGGAACAAGAAAGAACCTTTGGCAGCTTGCTGACACTCTGTTGCCTGGAGATCAGTTATAATCCCAGGAGATCTCCAGCTACCATGGGGAGGCTGGTAGGTTTGCCAAGTCCTACCTTCGTAATAGCGGTGGGACTCCCGGACGTCCCCGGGAGTCTCCTGGCATGCGCGCTTTGTGCACATGCCGCAATCACGTCACCCGGAAGTGACGCAATCGCGTCAGGCATGTTAGGGTGGGGACACAATCATTCGAGGGAAAACCATAGTTTTCCCTCGGATGATAGAGCGTCCCCCTGCAACATGCCCGACACGATTGCATCTCCTCCAGATGATGTGTTTACGCCGGGCGTGTCACGTACTTTGGGGGTGAGGCCCCCCCAGCAGCCGAATCCCCGCCAGTGGGGAACGGGCCTCTCGGGCGGGGGTTTCCCTGCCCCCCAGGGGGACTTGGCAACCCTAGAGGCTAGCAACCCTGGGTGGGGCCAGGCAGGGCTTTTGCTCAGCAAAGGCTTTTGATTGGCCATTGTAGATGTCATTGTGCAGTTTTGTTTTGTTTTCTAAACAGTGGCTGCCACCACTGCACAAGGATCTGTACTGTGTGACTGAAGGTAAACTGCGGCAGCCATTTTGTAGCTGGCTCCACCCCCTGAGGCAGCCATCTTGTGGCTATGCCCACCATGCTGTAACTGAATTCCAAAGGTGCCCACATGCTTAAAAAGGTCGGGGACCCCTGCTCTAGAGAATAATTTGGAGCATGACGTGGTGGACTTGCTGAACCAAAAAAGGTCTGGGTTTTCAAAGTGCCTGAATGGGAGACCACCTGGGAACCATAGGAGAGGCATTTGGAACTATATAGAGATACAGTTGCCAACACGAGGTTGGGAAATTTCTGAGGATCAAGTCTAGGGAGGGTGGAGTTTGGGTAGGGTTGTCAGGCCCCCAGTCTGGACAATGGTTCCCCTGCTTTTGCGGTGCCCTGGCTGGTGGGGGGAATACCGCCTGCAAATGCCCCCAAACATGATGTGATGTAATCCCATCGCCGACATTCAGGGGTGTCAAACATGCAGCCCAGGGGCCACATCAGGCCCCCCAGAGGGCTTCTATCAGGGCCACAGTGGAACTGGCTGTCTTCTGCTTCTTCTTCCACTTCTGCCGCTGCTGCCACATCATCGCAGGTTTGCACCTTACAGATACACTCCTGAACAGCATGCTCAAGATTGCAACAGCACAGACATTTTGATGCAATAATCCAGAGCAAGAGGTGTCAGTTATCAGACACTGTTCAATGAACAAAATATTGCAAGAGTGCTGATGTTTTAAGCATGTTTTTATTTTAAGTAAAAAAAACCCATTCTTTGTGTCCTTTATCAAGTTTATTATCTCCGCTACCTGGCATTACATTGTATGACCCACGTGGCCCGGCCCAACAAGGTCTCATGTATGTCAGATCCGGCCCTCGTAACAAATGAGTTCGACACCCCTGCTCTAGCTTTTGGGCAAAACTCTGTGGTAAAATTGGCCTCAAACCATACTGTTTCGCCCAAAAACTAGAGCGTCACCCCCTGACATCAGCAATGTGATGATATCACTTATGGGTGACACCGTCATGGTGCACGTGTGGAGGAATACCCTGGAGGAGATCCTGGAGCCTGCAGCTGGTAAAGTAAAGGTAAAGGTTCCCTTGCTCGAATCCGACTCTAGGGTTGCGGTGCTCATCTCCGTTTCAAAGCCGAAGAGCCAGCGCTGTCCGAAGGCGTTTCCCTGGCCATGTGGCCGGCATGACTAAACACCAAGGTGCACAGAACGCTGTTACCTTCCCACTGAAGTGGTACCTATTTATCTACTTGCAATTTCTTGCTTCCAAAATGCAAGGTTGGCAGGAGCTGGAACTAGAGACGGGGGCTCACTCCGTCATGCGGCACACTCGGGTCTCGAACTGCTGAACTACCGACCTTCCACAGCCTGCAGTTCAGTGTCTTAACCACTTGAGCCACCGCAGCTTACCGCAGCTGGTAAGGACCTGGAAAACCTAAGTTTGGGGAAGGGAGGGACCTCAGTAGAGTATAACGCCCTCCAAAAGTGCCATTTCCTCCAGGGGAACTGTTGTCTGGAGAAGAGTTGTGATTCTGGGAGATCTCCTGGTTCCACCTGGAGGCTGGTAACCCTAGGTAGAGAAGAAACAAGGAGTAGCTATATAACATATTGAACTCATAAACGAAACTGTGGTGGGGGGAAGGAATGGACTTCTTTAACAAGTCCCAGTACCTGTCCAGGGCCACGCTATGAAATTATTATTTTTAAAGAACAAATGGAAGAAGATTGGGCGGCAGTGAACGTCTAAAAAGATATCAAGAATTTAGAGAGTTTTAGTATAGATGTAAAGGCGGAAGGACTTTGCAAATTGCTTTTATGAAGCGAGCTGGAGGAGATGCTTGGGAAATATTCTCATAACAAGTAACAATTTAACATATAAGCTTAGAAAGACAGGACCTCACAAAGTATATTGTTTATTAACAGCCTTTACTAACAGTATTTTAACAGGGAATGATCTCCTAACCTTGGGTTTTTTAGCTTAGTGTGGGTTATCTTTTCTTTCTCCCTTAATTGTAGTCCCCCTAGCCCCAATTTTTCTTGGTAGTTTATGTAGTATTATAAAAAGGGGGGGAAATCCCCTCTGGGGGCTTAAAAAAAAGAAAGAACAATTTTTCAAAACTAATTCAGGAGAAAGAAGCATGTGTGTGAGATGTTTGGCAACCTCCGCTTTGGCTTGGAAGTGTAATGAATTCTTGTGGTTTTCATTCAGAATACTTTGTGGGACCCTGATTGGGGTTAAATATCTCATCCACACACAGGTCACCCTCAGAGGAAGAGAGGAAATCTCTATTTCACTTTGGCATAGACCTTCAACCGGCGGGGGGGGGGGCTGTAAATGAGTCATTTACAGCATTTTAATTAGTCATTGGGTTTGTCATGAATATTTTCATATCCTCACTTCAAGTCTTCGGCTCCACCAAAAAGGAAAAAAAAGATTTAGATATAGCTGTGTGGTCCACTGTTTAAAAAAGAAATAATATCAATTTTAGCTGAATCGTAAACACGGTATAAGAAAAGATATAGCACATTAGCACCATGTGAATAAGCCACAAATGTTCCATTTGGGATATGAATGTACCCACTTAGAAACTGGAAATCCAAACTCTCACGGTATAACAAAACAAGTTTTGAGTAGAAGGGTTAACAAATACATCTATACCCGCGCACCAGAAACCTGATACCTGATTAACCTCTCTTACTTACGGAAATATTCCCAAACTAGAAGCTATACACTGTCAGCTTTCCCCTCTTTCACAGATTACTAGTTCATTAGCTGAAAGTTTCGACACCTGTGCCAGCCAAGTGCGAGGAATAAACGTTGGAGTCGCCTTCCGTGTCTTTTTAGTGGTGCCTCAAACCCCCTCCGGGAGAAATTCACCTCAAGAAGTTGGATTTCCTCCAAACGTCTGAGGCGGTGCCAAATTTTGTTTGAAACTGGTTCACAGATCGGGCCTTGTGATCTGGAAAGCCACGGGGAAGGATTTTGCCCATCTGCATGAAAGACGAGAGCCAAAAGGGCAGGAAGCTGCAATTGCCCCCACCACCACCACCACCAATTTTCCAGATCGACCCCCTTTTGGCTGCCTCATGTAAGTCAAGGGAATACACGTTTCTTTGAACCCTTCACTGAAAGCCAAACCCTGAATTCAGTCCAGATTATTCAATCCCAGGCTAACAGGTACATCTACTTCAGATTATTGACCCTATCCCAACAGCGATAAGGTTCAGCTAGAATTTCCATTACTGAGAAGAGGTCGGTGAAGGTGGTCAAAAGCGCAGCAAGCTAAACTCAGGAAGAGGGGGGGGAGGGAAGAAAAAAAAACCATATTCTTTACCAAAAGGCTTGCCACTAGAAATCCTCCGAAGTGCTAAAATATGGATGGCAGAGTCTAACTCCTTAATTATTTAATTCATTTTTGAATTATTAACCACGTGCTGGTTGGGAAAACAACTCTTCCGCAGTCGGGCAGGCTGGCTTAGATCGTATCAGCGGGAATGGAAACATCACTCTGAGCTCAGTAAATTAAGAGACCCGAATGCAGGCACGCTAGGGGATGGCGACCAGAACGCCGCACGCGCAAAAAGTGCAGGTTATGGAAGATGTTCCAGATGCGCTTCTTCGAGGGAACTGCTATGGAACACACACACACACACATACCCCTTGGCGCAGGGCTCTTTTTGTTGCAGGAACTCCTTTGCATATTAAGTGACACACCCCCTAATGTAGCCAATCCTCTAAGCGCTTACAGAGCTCTTCTTACAGGGGCTGCTGTAAACTCCTGGATTATTGGCTACATTAGGGGTGTGTCGCCTAATATGCAAAGGAGTTCCTGCTACAAAAAGAGCTCTGGATGGATATCACCTGACCTAGATGGCCCAGGCTAGCCCAAACTCATCGCAGCTTGGAAGCTAAGCAGGATCAGCCCTGTTTAGTACTTGGATGGGGGACCACCAAGGAATTAGGGACAGGGGGGGGGCTTAACCCTGAAACCTGGGAACCAGAACCTAAAGAGGTAAGTCAAACAGAACAGAGGGCCAACAATAAAAAACTTGATGTATAGATGTATATAATATAAAGATACATGTATTTATTAGCAAAGAATCAAAAAACATATAAGGGCCCAATCACACCTCATGTAAAAATACCAAAATCCTACGCACAAGGGCCGAAACGCATCAGGTCAAGTCCATTGGCCCTTGTGTGTAGGATATTGGTATTTTTACATGAGGTGTGATTGGGCCCTTATATGTTTTTTAATTCTTTGCTAATAAATACATGCAGGGGTCATTTCCTGCGGGAGTGCACAGGAGCGGAGCTCCGGCAGTAAGGAGCCCAGGGGGCAGGCACATGCAGCAAGCCCCGCCCCCTGCTCCCAGCTGCCCTCAGTTGG